CAGAATGTATTTAATAATATGAAAAGTAGAATTAATACCTGCTTGAACAACAATGGACATCATATTGAACATTTATTGTAAAAATATAGATATTTTTATGGATTTTATGTAATTTTGAGGTAAAATATTCAATAAAATGTGAAAAAATTCCAATTACTCTGTTATTATATATTGCATGTAACTGTTGTTTATTGCTCTCGGTCATACAGACAATCCTACCATCTAACATAATCAAGCACTTCCAACTGCTTGCATTTGCTTGAAGCAAATTTTTTTAAGACACTTTTCCTGAATTTCGACAGCTAACTAAAATGTTCAGCATAAATTTTTGGGCTGGATCGCTTGCGCTGGATATTCAGAAGTGTGAAAGCAGTAGCTGCAAAATAGTCGTCTTATAAGCATACAGCAGTTTGCTTTGATGAAAAACAGCAGCTTGCAGCGTATCGCTGTATAGCTGAATCGTCTTAGATGCCAAGAATGTAGCCACAATAGTGCTTCTGTTTTAAAATTAACTCATAACGTTTTAAAAATAAAATCGCTGAAGCACTTACAGTCGTTATTCAAAATTAGCTACATCAAACTTTGATTTAAAAGTTTTTCTAATTGTAAATGAAATAAGAATTTTGGAAAAGTTAGGCTAAACCTACATTTGATTCTGTCTTCCTCTTTAATAATAATAACAATAATAACATTTATTGGTCCATCAGTATTGCTTAATTTGTGAAATAACTTTGATTTTTGTTAAATAATTGATATTTTTATTATGAATTTCCATTTTGACAGTAACCTAATTTATTTGACGTTTGAACGTAATTATTTGTTTACCATTAAAATCCCTCAACCTGCGCTCATGATTCTAGTATTGGTATCAAAAACTGGTATGCCGCACATCAAAAATCAGTATGAGGCGGCACGGTCAATCATTCTCGATCACCCTGTATAATATTTCCTTGCATTTTCATCGCGCTTTAATTGTAAATAATAAATATTTACATATCAACTTTGTGTTTAATGTCAATAAACAAAATTTCTGGTTCAATAAACGAAAAGCAACAAGTAGCATATTTTAATTTACGAACTGATATAACGTAAATCTCGAACAAAATCGGCATAATGTAATGGTGTTCATGAATAACACTTCAATGTAAATACTTGCTTTCACCTTGTTATGCAGTTTTTAAAAATACCAAGTTGGATAATTAACAATTTAGGTTTATTGCACGGGGTCGGTATTGGTAGAACGATGAAGGTGAAATCACTACTTTATGTAATACCGAAATTAAGCAATTATTATGACTCGCTGATGAGGCTAAACATGACAGTAATGATGATACTTATGATGACGACACAGATGATGTACATACTTATTCTCATTATGAAAATATAGTGAAGAATATAAGATAAGCTAATAAGTTTTAGCAGATCGTCTTTGTTAGTGTGAAAGGACAAACAGTAGTGTCTTTTAGTGTCGAATGCATTTTTCAGTCTTAATAATTTTTTCATCAGTTGAATTGGATTTTAAAGTGATTTTGTGTCGTGATTGATGAATTGTAAAGTGTGTTAGTGTGTTACTTGATTCAGTTATAATAATTTGTTTGACACATTGATTAATGAACTTTTCTGTAATGGGAAATTCTTGTATAGGATTTTCGTTTGACGAAAGGATTGTTGCTGTTTCGTCATTTTCTTTCTGGGCTTTGGGGAATATAATTTTCAAAATCTTGGATTTGGGAAATAGCCGGATAGTCAGTCACTAGTTCTAATAATTCGTTTAAATTTGTTTCGTCTACTTCTAGAATTTCGTCAATATTGTTTGACACAGACCTAAGGTCGTCTGCTAATGGTGTTGTGTTTTGTAAGGACATCTACCTTTTGTTAGGGTTACCAGATGTGAAACATGTAAAGTATGACAATTGTAACAAAAAAGGATGACTTTCAATGAAAAAGGAGGAAATTTTTTGAACATTTTATTTTACTTTATTAGGAAAATAAAAGATAGTTGTAAACACAAGTGAACTTAAAAAACATTGCATTTTGCATATATTGCGTTAGCAAATGGAACAAAAACTTCATAAAATATGTTGCGGGCATCCTTACATTCACTCCGTAGCCACCGAATGTTATTGTTGAGTATCCAAGGATAATAGTATTGTTAAGATTGTGATTTTGATTGAAAACTAATCATGTTAATCTTGATTAAAATATTAAAAATTTTCAAGTAAGTGTCAGGTGCAGCAATTTTTATTGATACAATTTTTAAAAAGCCGGACAGAGGGGAAATCCGGCTGGACAATTAAATTTTCTTTAAAAAGGAGGACATGTCCGGCTTTATCCGGACGAATGGTAACCCTACCTTTTGTGGTACGTCTTGAATTTTGACTCCCGATAAATACACCAGTCGAATTAGTTTGAACGTGAAAAAATTATTAGTAGAAAATTGTCAACAAGTTGAAATTAAGTTGCCCTTTACAACTAACAAAGTAGGAGGGTCAGGCAAAAACCGCTCGGGAATTCGCTCTTTTTGCATTAAATAAAGCTTATTTTACGGTAATTTTGAAAAAGGAGAAATCACCTAAGCCTCTTTGTTCCCAAGATATATTTTTTTTCATAATATTAAATCGTTAATTAACTAACTATTGGACGTCTGTTACGTAATTAATTATTTATTTTTCTTTGTTTGTATTTTATTTCATAGTCAAATTCCTTCGAATGTACTCTCCATATAATAAGTCTTTTTAAATTTGAAAGCCATTCTAACGGTTCGTGGTCTGAAATAATGGTAAATAAAAAAAACACATTTGCAACTCCATACTATTGCTGATAATTCTCTTTCAATGGTTGCGTAATATGTTTCTGCAGGATTTAAAAAATTTCCAAAAACAAAACAGATTAAACTAGATTACATAAAATACATTACTCAAAAATAAATTCATGCGCTTATCGTGCTTTGACATAAATAATTTAAATTTAATATTACGTAAATATTAGTACTCTTAAATGTACTTATATAATACTCTGTATTACTCAAATATTACACAAGCTTCCACACCAAATTACTCCTGCGTTTTCTCCCTAAGGTTGAGTTAGTGTTATATTGTCTCTTAATTAGGTTAGAACAAAAATAATCAATGATAGCAACAGATAACACCAAAAACAAGGTGTTTATTGTCTGCGTTTTTCATATTTCTTGCCTATGTCTGCAATAAATTTTTATAACATGTATAATAAAAATAACCTCATTAACTAGAGACAAATTTGAATCCTTATCTTGCATGATAAGTTTTGTATCAAGCCAGAAATTTAAGTATATTAAAAACAATATGCACTTATTTCATTATTAACAAACAATGGAATTGATCCCTACCGTATTTATACAGAAATGTTCAAATTTCTAATTAAATGAAGCGTGAGAAATCTTCCGATAAAGTAGATAAGTTAAGTTCAAGGTTAAACATGTAATCAAAATTAATTAATTACTTTCTTATAGGACGAGGATATGATTCGTGTTAAAATTAGTGTTTTTTACCCTTATGACAAATATATGCCTGATGATGATGTTTAACGCAAATAATATGAAAAAAAAGATGATATACAACAAAATAACTTACCTAACAAAATATTAAGCAACACAAAAGTAAATAATTTCAAGTTTTTATTTAAGTACTGAAAAAATAAATTCTTATTTGTGTAAGTATTTGAATATTACATAAAATATTAAAAAATATACAAGGTGGTCCAGATTTTAATAGAACATAGGCGCAGAAAGCCACAGATACAGGGCGTTGAAATTAATAAAAACAAAACAATTTTTCTGAATAACTGGAAAACCGTTTCAATAAATTTATTCAAATTCGGTACACATTTTTTTTTCAAATATTTGTCCTAGTTCTGTATGCATACAGTTCAAATTCAAAAACCAGTAGAATCAATCACGGAAAAAAATATTTACTCTAATATATTGCCGATGAAATCTTCCAACAAAAGACCTTAAAAGTCCTCGAACCACTTTAGAAACAATGTTGAATAACAAATCATATGGGCTTTAAAACCCCCATGGTAATAATAATAAAGTAATTAATTACATTAATCATTTAATTTAATAATATTTATTATATAATATAGAAATGTAACAATATAATTTTTTTCTTGATTTGTTGTGAGCGAAATCAGAAATTATATCTTCAAAACTTACATCATACAGGCGCGCACTGCTAGAGCAGAGCTCGCGGTAAATTTGAAAGACACTGGACAAACTTTACACAAAAATAATCCTAGTCCGTACACGAAATAATTCTAAACAGATATTTTTTACGCAAAAAAATTCCACACAGTTTTTGCACGGAATTTTTTATCTATAGCAAATATTTTATCTTCTATATTTAAATGTATCGTCTTTATTAATATTTCTGTACTTAAATGAAGTTCTAATAGTCATTGCTTTAGTTTCATCAATATTAAATTTAACTGTGTCCAACCAATTACTGGTAACCGACAGTAAGGTGTCGTCTGCAAACAAATTTAAGAAAATCTCATTCTGCAAATCCTTAATGTCGTTAATATACACCAAAAACAATAATGGTCCCGAGACACTACCTTGAGGCACACCAAAGCTATTAGTTTTTGCCGAGGGCACACTGTCCCTTATTTTAGTAACCTGCCGCCTGTCAGTCAGATAATCCCTGAACACTCGCCTGAACCACCTTTCCTTCTATTCCAAATTTGTTTACTAATAACTAATAATAATTCTAGACAAAAAATTGTGCATATAAGAGAAAATTTAGAAAAGTATTATTTACACTTAATGTTATTTTGACCTCTCCTATACACTCCTGAGATACTGAGATTAGTAGATACTTACCCGACACCTTGTATAAATTCTTAATCTAAAATACATAAAATAGCTTTCACTATTAAATTGCAATTTGTGTCGGTTTTAACGCATTCCTCGATCATTAAACAGTATAGGTACACCAGTTACTACAAAATTTATCAGAACAAACCTGGTGAATCCTTCGCTGAAGAACCCAGGGAAGGCCCAGTACAGAAACCCAACGAAAATCGAAAACTCCAGCACAGATTCCATTGTCCACGCAATGAAAATCCCACTGAGGACCACCATTGCGATACAGTTTGCAAAAAACACGCACTTTTAAACCATAGCAAAAACCAACGTTTTTTTCTGACGTCTACCACCGCGAAACGAAAAAAATCAAGTCGTGAACGAAACAAAAACAAATCAGGTCACACCGCTCAGACACGCGACTGTTTTCAGTTCTTGTCGACGCTGTCATCCGTTATTCAACAAGAATTTTGTCGACGACTGCTACAACGCCACAGCATTACTTTACCACTCGAACGCAAACACCCCAAAACTAGCAATAGGAAAGGCGAATTGTGGCTAGCGGGTTCACCGCCGATACTAAAAGAAACAATGAATCCGTCCTCGTTCACCGGTATCGACATCCTCGTCTGTAGGCGTGAGGGGAGCGTGCTAATGCACGGCTTACTACTACGCAGTACCGTAACGAGAAAATTGAACGCTCGACCCACGATTAGCTGACTGAAATAGTTTAATCTAATTAGTTTTTGGAGTTTTCGATTATTGAGTGAGTGATTTGCCACGTTCTGGTCGTTCTTCAACGTCTTCAACTGAAGAAAACATCGAAAGTGAAGGAAATGACGCTTTTTTAATGAGGTGAAACCAAATAAAAAAAACACGTCAAAGTAGATCATAAATCAAAGTTATGCTGACTGTTTTCTTTGACTATCGTGGTGTTGTCCTGTTGTCCACACAGAATTCCTTCCGGATAGTGAAACTGTCAACAAAGAATATTATCTGGGCGTTATGAGGCGATTGAAAGAGAGTATATGCCGCAAAAGACCAGATTTATGGAAGGACAATTCTTGGATTTTGCATCACGATAAAATGCACCATCACACAAAGTGATAACTGTGAATGAATTTTTGACCAAAAACACAACGAATGTCATTCGTTATTCGACGGATAAATCCCTTGCTGATTTTTTTCTCTTTGAAAAATCCAAATTACCACTTCGTGGAACACATTTCGAGTAGATAGAAGCCATAAAACCAAAATCGCTGAAGTCCGTACAGGAACATGCGTTTAAAAAGTGCTATGATAACTAGAATGTTCGTTGGAAAAAGTGTTTTTCTTCAAACGGAGCCTCTTTTGAACGAGACTAAATAAATTTTGATGATTAATTGAATATATTGTGTTTTATTGACAAATTCCAGATACTTTTTCACAGAATGTATTTGATATATGCAAACAAGAAAGTACATAGTGATACCTTAGTCAGATAATATTGTGGCAACTAAATTTTTAAACAAATAAAGAAACACTAAGTATGTATTTGGGAGAGCATTGTTACTTCAGTTAGAGAGGGTTTTAGTATTGATCCGGCTTCGAATTAGAGTCCAATTATTTCTTGTACATTTTAATAAATGAACTGAGTCAAAAATACTGTAAAAATGATTGTCTTCTAAAGTTATTCTTTAAATCGGTTGACTGAAAACTTTTTTCATAAATTTTATTTAGATGTTAAATTTTAAAGATGTTATTGACTAATTTGTCTATGTCTAAGTGTATGACTTTACCATAACAAGCGTTTCTATTTCAAAATTGTTTTTATTACAACAGCAATTTTCAATTAATAATGTAATATAAGAATCATTAGGGATATTAAACCAGTCGCCTTTCGTCTACGATTGTGGTGTCACCACCAATGAAACTACTACAGCTGACGTCACAGAGAATTCCAGTCTTGAGGCCTTGTTATACAGGAACAGGGTATTAGAAGTTTGACTGCCTTAATTTTAACAGACGATAGAATACATTAAAATAAACAAAAAAAACTTGTATGACATGGGTTCTAAACTCAACCATTTCCGTGTAATAAATTTAAAATTCAATAAAATCTTTGGGTACTTTAATTACATATTTTTCAAATACATAATTTGATTAAAAGTTAAGTTCCTGTTTTAAGAGATTCATAATTACTAAAATTCGAGCTAAAATATATACATTTTATTTTATTTATTTAAAAACTGGAAAACAATTGTCTTGAAATTCTGATGAAACTCCCCAATACTAATACTTGCTGTATTTTGAAAACTGTTAATCTTACGCCCCTGTAATGCTGAAGTTATGGCAGTCAAACTTCTTACACCCTGTATAGATGGCGTTGGTGTCTATGTAATATCTTTTAAGCATTTATAATTATCTTAAAAACTCGTTGAAAGAATGTATCAACTTTATTGACAACCAATGATTTTATAAATCAACCTACCGCTTTGTTGATTTAAAAAATAAGAAAAATCATATTTTTACGAGTGTTTTTAAATTTACTTCTTAAGGTAAAATTGTTAGTACTCCTCTGTCCCAAATGAAGGGTTTACAGGAAGCTTCATTTCCTCTAACGATTTAGATGACATAATGATTGAAAAATTAAGCAATACGGCACTGTATTTTATCATTCCTTACCAGGGTTATTTAAACGCTCAAGACCTGGTTAAATATATACATAAGGACAAGTACATGTGAGACGTTATTTATATAAACAAACAAATAGAATTACAAAGAACTGCGTTACTTCATTTATGTACCTGAATGAAATAAAAGGCGGTATTTGATGTTTTAAATGTTTTCATTATTAAAAAATTACACGTATGTATTTGTAAAATTATATTAATCGCATCGGTTTTTGAATTTTCTAGATATTATATTTATAGGTACAGGTAGTTTTATTTTTCCTTCCCGTAAGATGCAAAAGTTTCCAGTTCAAAAACCTTGCAAAAGATTCTAAACAGCTCACAGCAATAAAAACAATTTCGACAGCTCGATAAAATGAAGGTTACGTAGATAACAAAAAAGAGGAAAGATTTGTTGTTGTGACTCAATAACAGTGATAAAGAGAATATACTATTGTTTTGAACCATTGCTTAACAAAATTAAAAACAACTTAATGAAAAATGTTCCTTTCCATGGTGGTCTAAATTAAATAAAACATATATGTACAAATATTTCAAAAGGTCGAAGCAAACGAAAATATACCATTGTTCGATTTGTCGCGGTTTCAGGTAGGTCGGTTGTCTATCCTCTGTCATAGCCCCACGATGGGCGCCACGACGGGGATTTCGCTTGATCTTACTAGTATAGTGGAGTTGACCTACCATGTCTCCCCTTAACATGTTTAGAGGGTCATAGACCTCCATAATGGCTCCGGAAGGAGCGTTTCTGTCTGGGTTCGTTTTCACCTGCTGCGACGATAGTTGCCTGCTCACTGATGAGATCCCCAAGTGTCTCGAGCGTTTCCCCTTTAACGTTAGTCACGAAAGGCGTCGGGAAAAGAGACAGAGATTATCGCTTTTTCTCCATTGTGACTTATAGGGTTGCATACTGTTGATGTTCCACTCTCTAATTTTTGTGGTTCGACCTAAGACGCACATTGGGCACTTGCACTGTATTTTAATAATAATATGTATTGTTTAAATGTTTTGTACAACGGGTCCTCAACTGAACCCTTATCACTAGCGGGTCTACAGCTCCAGTGTTGAGTCACTGGCTAAACGCACATTAGTGTGATAGTGTACAGCCTCCTTAGAGAACGGGTACATTAAGTTTTAGAAGCGTTGTAAGAATTGCAGTGTAAGAACTGTATATGAATTACAGCATGAAAGTGGGTATGCGAGCGTTGCGCTTGGATTTGTAATTTTTAGGAGAATTATAACTCGAAATGAACTTTATTGATTTACCTAAACAGTAATACAATGTATGCAATGCGGTGGTTGCTATACAACAGGAATCCTTAGGACTCGGGTAGAGTACACACTCTGGCCAGGCATCCGTGCCCTGGTTAATAAACTGCGGGAAGCTTAGGTTGGTATTCGTAAACTGACTGAATGGATTCCGCTAAGTGCCCTGGTGTAATGTCCGGTTAAATTCCATAAAGTCTGAAACCGAAAGAACTGCGCCCTTGGCGAATACGACCGTCTTTATGATGTGGTTATTTCCGCCACTTTTTGAAAGTGGGGCGAAATATTTCGACGCTCCCTACACTCGTCGGGACCTCGGGGAGATAGTGGCAGACGTCGTCGTAGTCCAAAGGAACGGAGGTCTCTTGGCAACAATTGTCTCATCCGGGTGGCTCGGTGGATAAATCTTCGAAACAACGATGAAATTTTTCAAAATATCGGTGAAATTTTTCAAAACATAGGTGAATTTGTGAGCATTTGTGAGCATCGTCATGGATGTTTGGCGGCAATCGTGACGTCTGTGGAGCCTTGCGAGAAATCTTAGAAATATCGGTGAAAATTTCAGTTATTTTATGTTAGTAAAGCTGCTCTATGTGTTTTATATTCCTATATTACGGCTGGAACTGCCGTTATATGGGCTTCTGTAGAATTGTTGCCAATATCCGAAATATAGGCGAATTCTGAACTCCCTTACATACTACGATAGATTCACATTGTGAGGATCTCGGTTATCTTAGGAGATACGAGATTTCATTACGTATAACAACCCGAAAAAAAATCTGATACGTTATTGGTCCCCAAAATGTTTCAATTCGACCGCTTTGTACATCTTAAAATATAAGATAGCTGATAGTAATAGTAAAGTATAACATAGATCATAGTTAATATGCAAAAAATCTGTTTCAACAATTCAGAAATAATCAATGAAAACGAAGCGCAGGAAAATGCACGGAAGCCATATTCGTTGCCATCATATCACTCATTAGCGATTACCGTTACAATTTTTATCAATATCTCGAGGAATAACGAAACAATAAGAGATAATAATAATATAATAATATAATAATAATAATATCTCTACTCCTCATTCTAACTACGAGAATTAGTCCATAAGTCGGAGACTTGTGCGGGAGAGGAGGCGGCATATTATTATTAGGCATGCCGCACTTGCACCCAGGAACGACTTATGTTGGTAAGCCCAAACCACCATTCAGTGCAGGAATGAGGGAAACGGTGTCAATCTCTCACATTGACCCAAGCCAACATTCTTCCTTTCTACCATACCTGTACAGAGGGTGTCAATCCTCCGTACAAGCATAGCTAATCTACGGTCTACCGGCCGCGGGAATCGAACTCGGGCAGAAATTTGCACACGATTTAAGTACTGACGCCTTAACCCATGCGGCTATCGACCGATTAGATGGTATCAATTTTTCTGATCACCCGATATATGTAAGTGAACAATGGAACTGATATATTACTCAACTGTATTTTTATTCTTTCAGCTGAACGCATGGCACCATATTAATAACACAATAACAATAGCAAATAATTTCCACAATTTCATAACTACATATTGTTAAAAAAGAGACATATATTTAAAACCTCTGACATTTAGCCTATGCACCA